TGGGCCGCAGAATTGATTTTTATAGGGAGGGCATTAACTGAACTATTAACTGAATTTTGGTTTAAACATTTTATGAAAAATGCAAATCTGCACTTTTAATTATGAATCCATGAGAAACATGCACCCTCGGGGATATCATGATAGTGAATGTTGCCCTCTTTATCAGTAGTTCAGCCCAGTGCTAGCAATAAACAAGCGTGGCAGTTCATCAGTAGTATTATTAGATGCTCACCGACTGAATCAGAAATAAAAGTATGCAACTGTGAATGCAAACAAACCCCCAAAAGAGGCCATGCCGTTTCAGTTTGATGCTCATAATAAATTCAAAATGACATCTCCAATTTCGTCACATTATAAAAGCGGTGCTAAAAAAGGAAGAGGAATTGTTCTTCATCTAAGTGGAACTGATAGACAACCTCAGGTGTTTGCTTTGGGCCTTTCATTTTTGATGAAGCAGGCAGAGCTAAAGAGCTTTTCATACAATCCACAAGGAAGAATGCAGTCTTTTACATACAGTAATAACACAAACATGATCATAATCCTCAGGGATGAATGCCATCAGCACTTGTCACATTGTGACAACAGTAATCATTATTCTAAAAGGCACCATTGTCGTTATATCACCTTTGAAGTGTTAAATGAATACTAGATTGCTTTTAGCCTAGTATTTATAGAAATGTTCACCCCAACAAAAATGCTTTTTATTTTGATCATTTCAGACAAGATCTTGTGGATACAAGGGTATCAAAAACGGAATAGATGCTATTATTTTCTCTATGCTCAAGCTTAGAATATAGAGCCATATAGAGGCTTCAGTTACATTGTGTGCAGAGAGTCTTGTCCACGACTCGGCGGTTTGACAACGAACATATGACGAGAAAAAACAAGGTAAAGGCCCGGTTTTACAGACAGGGCTTAGATTAAGCCTTATTTCAATTAGGACATTTAAGCAGCTTTTATAAATGTGCCTTAGAATAACAAATGACTGGTGCGGATCTTGAGACCAAACAATGGCAGTGACATTTTTAGATATGTCAGTGCAAGTTGCGTTCAGTTAAAACAGCTCAAACATGGGTTACAAAAACAAAATAATGTTTTCCAAAGAAAAGTCTAGAAAGAACATGACTGTTTCACATAATCCAAAAACTAAGATATGTGCTAAGAATGTGTAAGAGTGTGTTTAAGTCTTCCTGGGCATGTTCAAATCACTGGCAGAGCAAAATGATGATGATGATGATGATGATGATGATGATGATGATGAATTTTAAATAAATAAATAAAATAAAGCAAGTTTTTTTTTAACATTGATTAACAAAGAATGTACATCACTTTTTTGTTGCAATTTTATGTTTTAATCAATTTATGAAGCCACTGTATACTGAATTGTTACATAATCATAATTTCCAACACTCTCATATTTTGTACTTGCAATTTAGCGAGACAGAGGCTGCATCTGTGGCGTCCACCATGTTTTCTTACTGACAGAAACTCAGGACTCAAAGAAAAAAAACTAAACTAAAATGGTTCCCAAGTAGGGATGTAACGATTCACTCATCTCACGATGCGATACGATTCACGATACTGGTTTCACGATACGATTTTCTCACGATTTTTTTAACAAATGAGATTTAAGACAAAAGTGTCCCTTTTATTATTTCTCAGACAAAATGCTGCACATTTCTTTTTAATTTAAAATATATTTGTCAAATAATAAAACTACATTAAAAAAATTCCCTTCAAGGTTGTTTCAACTCAGTCTTTCTGTCTGTTTGGTCAAGAGGCTGGACACTGGTACCTTCGCACACTATGTAAAAGGCTGTGTAAAATTAGTAGTACCAGATTGACAGGGGTTTTACATTGTAATAAAGGCAAGATTCTAATTTTGTTATAATTTGTATCATTACACTAGTAAGAGTAAAAAAAAAACACATTTAGAGAAAGAGATAGTAAAATAAATACAACACCTGGTTGCCACGGAAACACTGATGCACCTTGTGATCTCCGTGGCTCTCGCAATTGTAGTATTAATGACTTTTACATGAAAACGGAGGTGACTGGTGTTACTCACGGTGGTGATTATTATTAGTCTACGGAAAGTCAAAATGCCGCCACACCTCCGATTTGAATGAGTCAACGTCAACATCTACGCTTGCCGTCGCCAAAGCCATGTCTACTGTTTGACGGCACGTGCACACCAGTCTATGGCACACACTGGTGCGGCGCGAGCGGAGCAAACCGAGCGTTTTCAGTTCATTCCTATGGAAGTTGAGCTTGGCTCACACAAGATCAAGTTCCATGAATGAAGTGAAAACACTCGCTAGCTTCACGCCAGTGTGTGCTCGCTGCTATTGTGCTATTGTAAAGCGAGGTTCACAACTTCACAGTAGGCTATAGTAAACGCGCCCTGCGGTTTAAAACGTGTATCGCGATTCGTTTAACATTTCAACCGACTTGAATCGTCACACATTTTTATCGATTTTCAACCGGTTGCGAGTGAATCGTTACATCCCTATTCCCAAGTGGTGTTTTTGGTAAAGTTGTTTAAATTCATATATAATGTTTGAATATGACAAGTGTGTCTTAAAGGTACACTATATAACTTTTTCTGTTCAAAATTTAAATAGAATCAATACATCATCAATTCTTCTTCAAAAATGTGCAGGAAATTGCGTACATACGTCACTCGCGTGTCTCGCCATATCCGCGAATAGAAAAAAGTTGCTCCGGCTACTTTGATGCGTGTATGGTGTGGGAGAGCATAGGTTAGTTGTCACAATGAGCAAGAAAGGTTGACATGGAGCACGACAAATCTCGAACCTCAGGGGAATCATCCTTTTTTTTTTTTAAAACAGAGTCTGCTGACAAAAAGAGAACGCGACAGCTCATAATGAGAATCAGCACTGGCTTGGCTTTTCGGAGATGAGGGATTTGAAATGTTGTAAAAGCGACGTGAAGGTGAGTAAGGTATTTTACTCAACAGATAAATTGACATGTGTAGAACAGAGTTCATTGTAAAGCACCATCTATTGTGCATTATTCTAAGTCACCTAGAGCTGAAACACAACCAAAGCTTGTTTGCCAAAATGCATGCAGTTTTTTACAGTTACATAGCGTACCTTTAATTTCTCATCAATTAAAATGATATATTCGTAGACTACAACACCACCCAAAAAAAGAAAAAAACTTAATCAAAAACTTTACGCTCAAAACAAAAACAAATCAGCATCAAGCACAGTACTACATCTAAAATAGGATTTCATACAAATGAAATGAAAAGATTTCCTAAAGGTTTTACTTCGTTTCATTAATTTGTGTGGTAATACATTCTGTGGAAGGGACATTTGTAAACAGCCTGGAGTTATCATTAGAAGCCCAACAGAATGAGCATTGGTCTGTGCTGTAATTGAAAGATAGTGGCCACAGCTGCAGTACAGCAAAGCAATGATACCGATTCAAATAAAGGGTGGAGATTATTCCAGGTAGACAGAAATGTAATGATTAATTTCCTCTTTGGGTTCCTCGCGATCATAACAATGGGTAAGAAAATGTGGCATTGTTTGTGCACAAAGGAATAGTGCTCCTGGTGGTACCCACAGTGTGAACTTTGAAATGATGTGTTCCTGTACCTCAGTTAGCTGCCAGGATACAAATGAGTCATCCAGCATCCCACGCATGCATGCACATCCACCGTATAATAAAGCCATTTCACCCAGCATGAAATAAAAGACCATTTTCAAGTTCAGTTATTTGGTTCATAAACTCGCTCACTGCCTAAACCACACGTGCACGGTCGCGCACGCAACAGTTCGCATATACACGAGAGCACGGTGACAAACTTACACACTGTGACACCAAGCCAAGAAAAGAATGGCTACATACATTAGCCAAACATAACAGATATAATTACACATTATGCTATAACATAAGTGCTTCACTTTATATTAAGGAAATTCATTAAAAGCATAATGCCTTCTGATATTCACAGCATGAAACCTGAAGGAACCCTGCTATCCCCACTTCAATACATCATAAAGCTGGCGACTTCAACTTTTATCCTTATTTCTCTCCTAGGAAATATGACTCAAATGCTCATGTGCATCAAATGATCTGGGCTGTAGTTTACCACCTCACACAAAGGTACCTTCCCCCTCCCCCCCTCCAACACACCTTAATCAAAGTTTGCGAGCATTCTCAACAAGTCGTGATTCAACGGCCTTTACATTTTAGTTCAAATGTGAACCTTTGTGGCAACGCATTAGTCATAAAAATCATAAACGGTTGCCATAGCCACTAATTAGCTTGCCAGGATGTTTTTAACAGGAGCACGAGTTAAATTTGCCTAACAATGCATTGCCTGGAGGTTTCTCTCCTCATTTAAATAATGAAGAACAAATACGTTTAATTTGAGTTTGTTTGTTTGTTTTACGTTTATGAAGTTAACAAGAAATAAAATCTGTTCTTTTGTGATGGAAACAGTTATATTATTGCAATATTGTCCTTGTCACCGCTTTGGTTTGTCAATAAAACAACACTTCTTCTGCACCTTTTGGTACTTTAGTCTCAAATCACACCAGAATAATGTGTGATTCAACAGCACCCTCTTGTGTGTGCCCTGATGCGCCACACGAACTGTTGCTATGCTACGAAGGACAATAAAATGCCAGTGATTTCAAAGGTACAAAGTTCACTATAAACAATCATGTAACACAAGCAATATAGCTTTCTTCTCCATCCGTAATTGGGCTTAATTACATTACCTGACCTCAGATTTATGTGCGCAATATTACAACACCAGTGAAATATATAGCTACTTTTTTTATTTGGAAAGAATGTGCATTTCATATAAAAAGCAAACCACAGAATCTCTTTTAAAACAAGATGACTAGATCAGTAAAAACCTTCACCTGGTCTCTGACCACTAAGTTCATAGATAAACAGAGCATACTGCTAATAGAAAGGTGAATAGGTTGATGTGAAGGGATAGTCCAGTCAATCTTCAAACATTCTTTGAATGTTTATGATTGCAAAATTATAGACGCTTACTTGTCAGAAGCCTGTTAATTCAAGTCATTCGTATTAGGTTACACAAAGGCAAGAAGGCAAAAATACCAACAGGGTAACCATAGTGAATGTTTCTATTTGGCAAAGATAGAATCCCTTTGTCTTTGCTTTCTTTAGGCAATTGTATGCATAACTGATTATTTTAGTGTTAAGTAGAGTTTCAGAATCTCATGAATAAGGACTTATTAAGGACATATTTTAAGAGCAGAAATCTTACCTTGAAACCCATTCATGAATCTTTTATGTGCCTACCTATTCTTTCTTGCCATTTTTATTATTATTAGTGTGGCCGTTTATGCTGTCTGAGCTCAGCTTCCCTTCTGCCATCAATTTCTTGATCTGGTCGTGCGGCCCCTTCCCCATCATGGCTGAAGGATAGCGGTAGGAGCCTCCGATGCGGTCCCACAGGGTGAAGTACTGCCCGTAGTTGTAGTCAAAGAAGAGGTGGTGGTCAGTGTGGTGAGCTGAACCATTGATTATTTGTTCCACCAGGCTGGGCACGCGGTAGTCCCCGTCATGGATGGAGATGGTCCATATGTTGACGAACACGTACAGGGCTAAGTACAGAACCTTGTGTAGAGGGAAGAGGAAGGGGTAGATGTGGTACGGTAGGCCCTGAAGAAATCCATCCACGGGGTGGAAAGCGTGGCTGGCGAACGGAGAGGGGATCTTCCACACATGATGTGGTTTGTGAAAATACTGTATATGAAGGGAAAAGGACGAAAAAACATGATTATATTTGCATATATCAAAGACATGGAATATACACCTTTTTCATATTTTCTGTAGGGGGAAATCTACATTATTTAGAATGGTTTTAAATATGTGTTATATAGAGAACACTTTTATTGGTAGCAGAAAGCATATTCAAAATAAGAAACAAAAGGTGTCATATGGATGTTAATATGGTGGATAAATTTAGCCTGACTACGTCAGACTTCGTACTTCCGCTCTATTCAGTTCGCTTCTGTACTCAGTCTGAGACATCGACATGTCTCTCAGTTTTCCTCCGGCCTGAAAACAGCCGGCCAATCAACGAACAGAGGGCGGGCTGAGAGCTGTGACGTAGACGCTAAGCACCGAGTTTAAGATTGGGGAAATCGAAAACGATCGCGGATATGGAGACACGGGATGCAATTGGCTCTGTTGTGGAGAATATTCCTGGCATTTCCAAACTTCTGAACAAGAAGAGTGTTTGGTAAACATTTTGAATGGAGGTGATGTCGTGGCCCTACTCCCGACAGGTTTTGGTAAAAGTTTAATTTATAAAATATTACAGATCGTCAGCGAGAAACTGGGGAGGCCAAAGGCCGGCAAGGCGATAGTTGTGATTGTGTGATTGATTCTCATTTGAAGACTTGACTGAGTGCCTGTGACCTGTTCTTTTGTTTCTAGCAGAGTTTGGTATTACCAGGCTAGGATAAATTCACAATAAAATATAAATATAAGATGAAAAACTTTTTTTTTTAAAGAAAAAGTTTGCAACTAACTGAAATAAATCAGTTGACTTATTAACAATTTGTAAAAACTAAAGCTATACAGAAATTTTAAAAGCAAAAATTAGTAAAAATGACAAAAGCACATAAAATTGCTAAAACTAAAATAAATAAAAAATAGTAATAATACTAAATAACACTGTTCTAAAATACAAATAGATTTTTTCTTTATTGTTTACTTTCTCATAATTTTCAAAGCATGTTTTCTTGGGAATATTCTTATAATTGGCTAATATGTTATAATATATATATATGTAATATGTTTTTCCTGTGTCCTTAATATAATCCTGTTTATTTGTAACATTACTCTTTATTTCCGCTTTTTTTTTACCCACTGTTAAACCAAATTATAATTATACTTTGCATTATCATATATCTTGAATACCTTATATATTAACTTGTGATGAAGGAATCTGTGGATCCAGTAAATGCACATGTCAGTGAAAAACAGGAAAGAGACCATGCTGAAAATAATTCCTGACCAACCTGAAAAAACAAGAATAAATAGTATGACATAGTTAATGCCCATAGCAACATGATTATCTCATATATGAATAAATATAACCCACTTGAAAAAGCAAAGCGTTGTCCATGTAGCACTTGTTTAGCACAAACTTTGATTGGCATTTATGACCACAGCTCTGTTTTCTTACCGAGGGGGGATTCATCGACTCTGTCGTACAGTTTGCTGTATCCTCTGACCTCAGCAAAAAACAATGCTACTGTGGGTATGCTGATATAGGGCAAAGACCACAAAGCATACTTTATTTCACGTTGCACCTGGTTCTGTTGACAAAAACAAAACAAAAACATATTTATTCTTGCCTCTGATGCAAAACATGAGAAAAGACACTGTAGGTTGCTAGATGCATAAACAAACCTCCAAAAATTGAGGGTGTTGCATTAATTTGTGGTCAAAAACGAAGAAGTAGCACAAAGCACCCAGGCCTAGATATAAGATTGCAGCACCCAGGTTGGTGACCACCATCAAGCCGATGATCTGTCGCAGAGGCTCGTCCTCGGGCCATGATGAGGGATACACATATGGAGTGAAGAAGTAATCATCTGCAACGTTCAACACTAGGTCCATCTTTGACCTTAAAAGATGGCCAGAAGAAGTGTGATTAACTGTCTATAATGTGACTAAAGAAGGCAGCTTCAAATTAAATCATTTGAGCATCACTGCTGTATTGTAAAAAAAAAAAAAAGATTAAAAGAAACACTAAAGTGCACTTTCCCCAATATTGTAAACAATACCTTTGTACCTCCCAAAGACAAAATGATTTAGAAAAAAGATTATACAGAATGAATGAAAAGTCTATGTTGTTGTTGATAATAAATGTTCATAGCTAAAGGCAAATGCTGTAATTATAAGAAACAATCAGCTCACCTGTAACGGTGTTTTTTAAGACACGCCAGCGAAGAAAATAACTTGTTGGGTTAAAGCCCTCACAGAGGCAGTCCTGCTTTCACTGAAGAAACACAAACGGACGCAGCCAATGGCGGCTCACTTCCTCACAGCGCGAGCCCGTTTCTTGACATCTCATTGGTCGATGCGAAATCTGGTCATGGCGTTAGTGATAGCAGGAAGTCCAACTCCTTTCCACGAATCGGTTCTTTTGAACAGTTCGATACAAAGAACCGATTGAAACAGATTCAATGATTCTTTGACGTCTTGACATAAATGCCTCATCATGTGTCCCTGACGTTCAAACGTTTTAATAAAACTGTATGAGACACACACCTTGTTCTCGGTTAAGTTGTATTATTGTTAAGATATTTATTGTAATTTTATCTGCCCTAGTTCATTTTGTTGTTGCCATGAGTCAGCTCATACAGTATATACATTTTAATTCAAATATAATTTGTATTTACAATTAATAGTGCTTAAATTCATTTACATCTATTTTCTGAAAAGTTGTTGTGCGTTTTAGTAAAACCAACTCATGCAAACGTAAAAATATTTCTAGTGCGTTCTTGTTCGTAACAATTCGTGGAAGATTCAATCAGACGGCTCCATCAGGTCCAAACAGATTCATGAACCGGCTCAACAGATTCATTGAAAAGATCTGTTCACAAATCGCACATCGCTACATTTATATACTAGTGCAAAATGCCCGTGCAAAATATTTTTTTTGTGTGTGTTTTTAGCAATTGTTGGTTTGGTGTGTTTGAGTGCTCATTGTTACAATTACACAGGAAAAGTTCAGTGACATTTTTATTTGTGCATGGTAGAAAGCATACTGACATAATGATTAGAGGATATTTAGAGTGGATACAGATACATGCCAGTGAAAGCGATAATGTTAAGCGCACCAGAATTAAATAATATATTAAGAAGTAAAAACAGCTACGCTGTTTACTTCTTAATATCTAGATAGATATTAAGAAGTAAACAGCGTAGCTTTAAATAAACATATTAAACTTTTACGCAGTTATCTGTTTTGCAGTTCCTGCCTCTGTTGTTTTCGGTTGCAAATTGCTGTTCACAGGCTTGCAGTGCTTTTGGCCGCATTTGTGCGCAAAAACCGTGGCAAAAGTATAAGCGCGGAAAAATGAAAGTTTGAAGAATACAGATCCTATTTATTTTGCATTAGCATGAAGCTGCAGCTTCAAAATGCATGAATTACACTTACGAATAACAGTTAAATGCTGCAAATATTTTTTTTTTTACAAATGAATCAAAGTAAATTAAAGAAACACTGTGATTACTCGGTTTTATTAATCTAGGATTGAATAGGATATGTCGTCATCAGAGAGCGACGCAACAAACAGCTGCGCTGGGGACAAGACTGTACCAGACATTCTCTGACTGTACGGATTTGTATTCTTACGTTCACAACTTGTACTGCACTCAATACACAACATAACTTACGAGACTGTGATTTAACGTAGTTTGATCTTTTGATTGTGTACCAAAGTCGGATCATGGACAGTGAAGTACAGAGAGATGGAAGAGTTCTCGATCTCACAGATGATGCCTGGAGAGAAGACAGACTGCCATATGAGGATGTGACGATCCCACTGGTGAGAATTCATATTTACAGTTTTGATATGTGCCTTCCGAATTAGGTACAGCAAAATTTAGCATGCCAATGATCGGCGCGTATTGTAATGCAGTCAGCAGTGGAAAGATGCCCCCCCCCCCAATCCCCATCCCATTTGCACAACATATAGTCAAATCAGCCACATATTTCACACGTGAAAATATTTGAATTAGACGATTTGAACACTTTATATTTGTATTATATTTTCCATAAATTGAATCTAAGCCCATCGTATGATGATTTAACACTTCTCTTTTTCTGAAAGAGTGAACTTCCAGAAGCAGAACAAGACAACGGCGGATCAACCGAGTCAGTCAAAGAACAAGAGATGAAGTGGTCAGATCTCGCCCTGCAAAGTTTGCATGAAAACACCCCAAACATCGGCAGTTAGATGGGAAGGCTCTGTCCTCTCCAACTGATCCTTCTGTGGGTGATCTGATCCAAGATTTATTTATAATAGAAAGAACTCGGACTCGTTTCTGAAAATATGACATTAACTGTGCCACTGTGATTTTCATTAAAAGTGTTTCATTGTTTTGATATCAAAAGAACTAAATAAAATGTTTAAAACTGAAGTGCAGTAGGCCTATCAATCCATTTTAGTTGTGTGCTAGTTGTTTAAACTGCCAGACATTTGGCTTTTTCCTCACAATTTACAAAATGTTCAAGGTTTCAGATTAGTTATCTAAAATGCACAATACTTCTTTCAGTTTTGTTAGTTGCCACCTACAATTGATCAAAAGTGACAGTAAATAAATTTATGTTAGAAAATATTCTTATTTCAAATAAACACTGGTCTTTGAATTTTCTATTCATCGAAGAATCCGGATTTTTTTTATCAAGGTTTCCAAAAAACAACTCTGACAATAAGAAATGTTTTTTAAGCACCAAATCAGCATATTAGAATGATTTCTGAAGGATCAAATGACACCATAATGGCTGCTGAAAATTAAGCTTTTTCATCACATGATTTTATTATATGAGAAAATATATATTAAAATATAAACAGTAATTAAATTAAATTGTAATATTTCACAATATTACTGTTTTTACTGTATTTTATCAAATAAATGCATCCTTGGTGAGCATGAGACTTTCAGGGTATGTTTACGATGTACAAAAAACAAACGTTTTTCCTTTGCCTTTTTCCATGTACAGACAACAATGTTGTCAAAATGATCCCCGTTTAGAAGGATCCGTGAAAACTACTAAAAACACTGTATTATTCATGCCAGGCCAGTAGTTGGCGATGTCACTTTGTAAAGAAATATTACAGGCCTATAGACTGAACACGTAATAATAGCATGCATGTGACGTCACAGTTTTCACAAATTCGCGTTTTTGTAGTTTACACAGAGACGATAACGGTATCGGTTTCAAAAACTTGCACTTTGAAACCCAATTTAAAAAGCTTGCATTTTAAATGAATGGCCAAAACGCATAAAAAAAAAAGTTTTCCGTTTTTAGTTGAAAACGGTGGCGTGCAAACATTGAAACATCTTACCGACCTCAAATTTTTGAAAGGTAGTGTACATTAGACTGATTGCAGGGACAGCCATCCCTTATACTGCAGTTGTATTAGAAACACACATAATATGAAACTCAAATGCAATTAGTCACTGGAAATATAATGTAAGCAAGCATGAAATAGCTAATAATTGAATTAAATGTATAAGCAGTAAAGAATGGAATCAATAAATCATTCCTTCTCAGGCTAAGCTTAATTTTATTTGGGTTCAAAAGTGACACTGAAATTCTCCAAGTGTTATCACAAATATATTTGAACCATGGCATATTATGTTTCAGTCATTGCCAACATGTATTATAATACTTTCTTGGTATTACAGAAATATGTGTTCAGCTAGGTGGGTCCTTAGGCAGATGTGTATAGGTTTGGGGGAATATGACCAAATAGCTATAGACTTACAGTACAATGGCTTGAGATTAACATATCAAATGCAATCTAGATTGAGATTTTTTATACAACAATCCATTTTGCAGCCAAATTAAATCAAGACTGTAGCTGTATTATATTACAGATTTATGTTGTATGAAGTATTTGTTAAAGAGAAAAATAGTAAAGTTTATTTATTTGTAAACTATACTTGAAAAGAAAATATTATTCCCAAAAATGTGCATTTAAAGACTAAATGTCATCGAGGCCAAAAGAAATCAGACTGCAGGGCAATAAAAGCTTGATTAAATTAGGCCATGAGGCTTTAATGCTAATGTTTGGGGTCAAGTCCTCATGAGGAGAATGCAGGCATGAAGATGCTGCATTAAAATTTCAGTTTGGTCCCATAAAATAGAGGTTACATATGAATGCCTTTATTTTTTTTGCACACTAGCCACCCAACCATTTTTTTTTTTTCACAGTCTAAAACAAACAAAAACAAAAAACGAGAAAACACAGCATATTAACTGTCAATCATAAAAATGCCGGCAAAATGAGAATGAACTTCATAAGACTTGGCAAAACACAAAAACATGTTATCAGGGAATCAACCACAAACATACAAATTATGCCATTGTGAGCTTGGGCTCACTTGAATAATCAAACATGAATTTTAAAGTTATCGCTACGCAATAATAATAATTACTGTCTGACAGAACGGTAACATGCAATGGCTTAGCAAAAGAACAAAACTGGGTCCACTGATCATAAACTGTCCTTTTAAATGATTAAAATATAGGTTTATCTCCATCTGAAAGAATCATTCTGAGAGCAATGTATATTGTCCTCATTGTAAAAGCACAAAGTTAAGCAGAATGAAATGAATGAGTTTTCATAAGTGGTTCCCCTTACAGAAGAAAAGTTATGGATCTATGTGAAATTTAGTAATACAGTTTGTTACAAAAATGTAAGTATGCCACTGGTCTTAAACCAGTCAGATACATATTTTAATCACTTAATGTATCAAAAGCTCCCTTTCAATCCCAGATTTCTCTGAAAGGGGAGAGAAATGTGTCGGAGTCACTTCACACAGGCACTCTCACTTTCAGTCATTCTCCAACACCTTCATGAATACTTCTGCAATCAAATCCACATTCATTGTTTGGTCCCTCAAACAACAAAGAGCAACCTATCCAAGCATAGTTCAGTCAAACCGTGTCAAGTTTTCAAATGAAGAAAGAATTCCAGTTGCTTGTGATTAAACCCTATCATACGTAATAGTAATGGCACAGTTTGGACAAAATGAAAAATGCACATTTTGGGCCTCCAACCTGAAGGCAGAAAATTAAGAATTTCATGTACCACCTAGTTGTGTAAACTGAGTGTAAAATTAAGGTAGGGTGACTTAAACAGGGGTTCCTTTCCACTGTTACTGTAACATCCAGAAAGTACACAATAAGGTACACAGAACTGTTCTGTAAAAGATAGATTACATGCATTTCTAAAATGCAAACCTTTACATTTAATTTATACCCCATCCCAGACCTTTTCAAAGAAATAAAACAGAACTAAAGAATCCCTTTTATCCAGTAGTACTTTTCAGATATACATCATCATTTCAGATATACATCTGGTTATGATTTATGTACCATTTGTCAATATCGCAGAGTATCTACAGTATATAACAAGTTATATCTCCATGTTTAAACAACCGAAAATATGGTACATTCAGTTCAGTAAAAAGTCTTTAACATTTCTTTGTACATTTAAAAAAAATTAAACTGAATGTAAACAGTCAGGCGGCAGTCCACTGTCCTGCAGAGGCTGCCGAATTATTATAATTATTGACACCTACAATCATGTTCCAAATCTATCCCATTTGTCATTAAATGCCGGTTCACTCGGCATTAATCTCCGTCTCTGGCCTCTGCACTGAAAGCTCAGCTTGTATGAAGGCGCCCTGTCCTAAGGCTGTGGAGTATGCACGGTTACTGTGTGGAGTTGAGAAACCAGGGCTATGATAGGAGCTAGAACCACTCCGATTAGCTAGTGAGGTTTGGGACGGAGGTACCGGATGGTAGTCATCCAGGTTGTCGTAGTGTGACTGTGAAGTAACAGTGCCTTGTCTTTGCCCCTGTGACTGATGGGAGTAGGATCCACTGTGGTCTGCATCTGAATTGTCCGGTAAATGTGCGGGAAGACTAGACAGGTTGTAATGCTGCCGCTCTCTAACACTATGGGATCTCTCAGGCTTGGGTGGAGGAGCTGGCTTCACAGGAGCTGCTTGTTCATCTTCACTGGCGCTGCTTGTGGCTTTAACCCTGCATATGTGGCGATCCAAATCGGACCTTTCGTAACGAGGCTGGGCACTCCTGCTCTCCGAGTGTTCCTGCCAATGTTTACTGCTCAGTTGCTTTTCCCCTGGCTCAAACTTGGGGTCAAGATGGCTACCCTCTGGTAAGTGCTGCAAACTTCGTGGTGGAAGTTGCGATTGATGTGAATGGATGGACGAGTAGGTCCTGGAGCTGCCTTGTTTGCCGGTTTTGTCCCCCATTCCATTTCCTTGGCAGTGCTTCTCTGTTTCCATATACAACAGGATATCTGGATCGGAGATCAAGTGCCTGGGAGCATGCTGAGATCCAGGAACAATATTGTATCTCGCCTCCTTGCTTTCGGTGGTCATCAATACGGTTTTGCCAGGATCTGATTTGCTGCGCAAGTGTAACATGTCTATATCCACTGGCATGTAGGGCCCCACATTGTCATACTGAGACATAATAGAACCCTTCACCTTTTGCCTCGCTCTGCTTTCCCTGCGGATAGAGTGTATGCGAAGCCTCTCTGCTTCCTCTGGGTCCCACGCAAAGTAAATATTTCCCTTTGAACCACTGTAAGGTGGCATGTCCCTGCTTACGAAGCTATGCTCCTTTAAAGGAATGAAATGACGTGAAAGGTAGTGGTAGCCTCCAGATTTGGCTCCAGATCGAAGGAGAGGGGCACTGTCCCGACCACTGAAGGAATGGACATGCCGTAAACGGATCGTACCGTAATGGTCCACATCGTAGAAAGGGGCATCCAGAACATGAGAACCAGAGTAGGGGCTGTAGCGGTACTGAACTCTTCCATTCTCAAAGTAAGGCTGCAGTTGTGTGACATGATAGTCAGCTTGAGAGGGCGGTTGGTGAGACTTGCAGTGGTAGACTGGGCGCTGATAGTAAAATAACTCATCATCTGGTGGAACCTCAGTTCTGGTGACTGGCACTGAGCGGATAGCCGTGGGGGGCGCATGTAGGGAGTGGACCCTGCGGATTGTTGGGTACACGGTAGGTCCATCTACCTGGCTGTAGCCATGGGAGTGGTGCACTGAACTTGGAGAAACGTACTCACCTCTCGGTGGGCCACGAGATTTGATGGACTGGTGGTAGGACCTGGGTCCAATCGTATTGTATCGCCCATCACCGTGGCCTCTATAAGAAATCTGTGGCTCCGATTTCGACACGTAAGAAACGTGAGGTGGAACACTCTCTGGCCGGTAATGGTACCCTATTGTAGCCTGACCAGAAGTGGTTACCCGCTGATGGTAATATGCCTCTGGGGTGGGCTCCAATAGGGCTGCCTCCCCTTTTGAGTGGTAAATATAACCTGATTGATGAGTGGAAGACCTGCGGTGAGGTGGATGAGATTGTGGGGGAGTTTCCTCCACTGAGCCCCTCATGGATGTCTCTAAGATGGCATGAAAGTTGGCGGGGTTTGCTGCTTCAGCGTTGCAGAGAGCCGCCATTGCTAGTTTACTTTCAATCGAGCGAACAGGGGGTGTTGGCGGTGTCACTCCCTGAGTGTGGTGTTGAGGAGCGCTATCTCCCTTTGGATGGACAGGCTTTATGGCTTCCCATGGTTTTTCCACAGGATCAAGAG